ATATTATTCTGTAGCCTTTATAAGTATTACTTAAAATATTTATCGGTATAGGTTTTTTTTCCTTCCAAATTACAAAAGTAGTATGTACTCACTGTGGAAAACTTTTAAAACATAGAAATGTGTTGTCAGGGAAGGGGAAATTCCCCCTTAACCCCCTCGAGTTCTTCTGCCTGGACTAATAATAAAATTGACATAAGACCAGATTAATAGGAGAAAAACCAATTTAATACATGCACATAGGAGATCATAGAGAAACGATGCCTTCTGGGATGGGCAAAGCAGGCTGTTTTTATATGTTTTACATAAAGAAAGAATAAAGTTGTGAGACATTGACAGGACAAAAAAAGCAAGTTTGGGATTTGTAATTAGTGAAGAATTTGAGCCGAGTTCAGGCTTGAGGTAGTAAATTAGTAAAAGTAACAAGGTTTGCTTATATAGGGTTCTCAGCCCTGAATTCCTTAGCTTAGGATATTTTTTCTTCTGGTGCGGGGAAGGTACCTTTCACGTGGGAGATTTATTTCTTGCCTATAGGAGGAACAGAGAAAAGGAGGTTCAAAACTTGATTTTAAGTCAACACAAGTGACTCTAATTCAAAATATTCAACATGCCGTTGTGGAATATTTGCGGGCAGCCTGCCCTGGGCCTCAATAGTGTAAAGGAGAAAACCTCATGATTTAAAAACAAAAACGTTTGGGTTTATTTTCTTTTGGTATTTTTTCTGTATGAACATATACAAATATTCTTTTAAATTCAAAATTGGAATCCTGCACATACTGATTTGTAGCTCTTTTCCTACTTAGCAGTACATTGTAAACATTTTCCTATCATAAACACAGTCTTTTAGTGGCTTTGATAGTGGCTTTGGATATGCCATTCGTTTACGGTTCCCCTGTGGTTGGACATTTAGATTCTGATGTACACACACACACAAGGTTGTGTGCAATTGTAATACCAGTGTTTTAAAAATGAGTTCATCGTGAGGTGATTTTATGTTTTGTTCTGATTGATACTATTCGTTCAGGTATTAAATTAGGCTGCCTTCCTGCTCCAGAATATTTCCCCATGTTTGATTTTAGTGGGCTGAACATAGATATTCTCTTTAGAGCTGCTTGTTAGTAGGAACATTTTTTTTTATTTGTGAGGAAGATCAGCCCTGTGCTAACATCTGCCAATCCTCCTCTTTTTTTGCTGAGGAAGCCTGGCCCTGGGCTAACATCCATGCCCATCTTCCTCCACTTTATATGGGCCGCCGCCGCAGCATTGCTTGCCAAGTGGTGCATCAGTGCGCGCCCGGGATCCGAACCGGCAAACCCCGGGCCGCCACAGCGGAGCGTGAGCACTTAACTGCTTGTGCCGCTGGGCCGGCCCGGGAGGAACTTTTTTGAATCGATTGTATTTTGGTTTTTGCTCGTTTGTGTTTCCTTCCTCTAGTTGACAAGAGTATGGTGCTAGTGTGCCAAGGCCTCCTATGTAGGCTGAATAATCTCACTCTACTCAAGGCCACAGAGTGTGTACCTTTATAGATGTTGTATTCCTTGTTAGGAGGGTATGAATATACCACTAAACATCTATCAGTTACTGTGAAAAAAATCCATACTTTTATTCTTATGTAAATAGAGTGTTTTTCTTTATGTTGACCAAGCACATTTCCATGAAGAGTGTATTGGCTGATTTTGGACAAATCAAATGAGACGTTCTCTCTTAAAATATTTCATGTTTAATATAAGTTACTTATTAAATATTATGTTTCTCTTACATGCTTTTTTCCTTACAAATTAGAAGTGTTTGTAAAGATAAGTAGGTAGAAGAGAGTGTTTTTTCATTTTCCGTCAGTTGCTGCGCACTTGACAAACTTCCTCTGAAACCTGTGGCTCACCAAGGCAACAATTCTGGTGTAAGTGTGTATTCAGGGAATGGAGGTGCAGGCAGTAGTTCTAATACTTAGGTGCTCCTTTACCCTTTCCAAATTTCTGGTTGAGAATCACTGAGCTAGAGATACTGATTCTCTAGTGTTTGCCAAGAGTTTGGAAGACAGTATTTTCCAGTTGTATACCTTGCTTTGTTGCCTTTAATTAAAAAAAAGAACAACTTTATTTTGATAATTGTAGATTTGCATGCAATTGTAAGAAATAATACTCAGAGATCCTGTATACCCTTTATCACTTTCCCCCAATGGTAAAATCTTGCATAACTATAGTGAAATAGCGCAACCAGGAAATTGACATTGATACAATCCATCCAGATTTCACTAGTTTTCCATGGACTCATTTGTGGATGTATTTAGCGTGTGCAGTTTTATCACACATCTAGATTTGTGTGATCACCACCACAGTCTGAATAGAGACCAGTGGAACAGTTCTATCACAAGATCCCTCCCACTACCCTTCTAGGGCCACAGCCACCTTGCTCCCTCCCTCCTTAAGCCCTGGTTGCATTTAATGGTTATGTATGTGTTGTAATTACAGTCACTGGATGTGATAAACATTTGAATTCCCTCATTAGTTTTATCAAATTGATCTAAATGGAGGAATTTTTAAAAATTGGAACTGAGATGTTTTTAAAAGTAAGACATTTGTAACTTAAATTACTCTCAAGTATACAAGTCAATAAAACTCTTGTGGTTTGTCTCCTAAGCGTATATACCCAGCTGCTTGTTGGACATCTCCAGTTGAGGGCTGCAAGGAGACCTCTGTTTACAATGTACTTATCAGCCCTGCCTCTATCGTCATTAGCTTGGGCTGTTCTTCCTGTGTGCCTTCTTAGGAAGAGAGCGTTCGCCTTGTTTTGGTACCTAGTATTAGGAAGAGGCGTGTCTTTCTTGGAGGAGATGCTGCCTGGTGCCTTCTCCTGCCAGCTGGTCCCCCCTGCTGCCTTTCTTGCCTCCATTTATGTAGTGTCCGTAGGAGCTGCACTCTGCTGTGAACATGCCACTCTGAATGCTCTCACCACTTCTTCATCCTAGGTGAAGCCTGGCTCTCCGCTGAGTAAACTCTTTCTGTCTCTCGCAGGTGGAGGCTGCTCATTCTTGCTTCCCAGGTAACCACAGAGTTTCCTGGTCTAAGCTATTACTCTTCAGCTTGCAAATGAAAATGATCTCTTTTAAGGCTCGTGCTGTCTAGATACGTCACTTTACTGCTCTTGTATCTATTCTCTCCTGACTTCATAGTCTGTCCCTGCCCCACAACCTCCTCTCACACATTTGCTGAAGGCTTGAGTGCCAAGGACGAGATTCACTGTCTTTCTCTTTGCCCCCCTCTTTTCCTAGTATCTTCTTCATCCTGGGTGACGTCATATCTCTGGGAAAGAACCATATGACACTAGCCTTATAGTTCTAGTCCTCTTCAGCTGTCAGCCCTCAGTCATCTTCACCGCTGAAATCTTAAACGCTGCTACCTGGAGTGCTACTTTCTGTCTTTCCAGCTGTTTGACTTCATCAAGGTCTTTAGTTCTTTGACTTTTTCATTTATTGTAGTGTATTCCTTCCTTCCCTGTCTTACTTATTACTTAATAAGTTTCTTGCTATTCTCATATATTAAAAAAATAATCTCTGTAGACCTTTTAATTCTACCCACCCTATGAAACCGCAACCTTGGAATAATCAGTCATTTAGCTTCTCTAACCTTTGGGCTAATGTGTGTGTGCCTTGGGTAGGCTCCAGTATTAGCCAGGCCTGCTGTTGCCTTCATGTCCTCTTACATGTCCTCATCAATTCACTGCCATTTAATCTGGCTCTTCCCTGAGTAAACCAACACTCAAACCCCACGCATTCCCTCTCTCACCACTCAGAATATGATCTTGCCTTCAATGCTGCAGAGAAAAATTTTAAAAATCAGGAAATATCTCTTCAACTTCATGTTCTACCACCTGGAAATTTATTTTTATTTGCACTCATCCTTTCCTGAAGTCCGAGGAGAAAAGCCTTCCCTCCTCCTGTCCTCGGTTTGTACCCGATTCCTCGTTCCTCCTCATGGACCTTACTCTCTCATCACCACTCTTCTTTGTGTCTTCAACTTCTTTCTCTCTAATAACTTTTTCCTTATTATATCAGTGTGCTCCAGTCTTTTCTGATCTCAACCCTCATATCCCACCTTAGCCCCCACTTACTTTATTGCTTAGGACGCATCCACGTGCATGCATACAAGTATGTACACACAGAATCTTAAAAGAATACACAATACTATTTGTCTCTCCCTCCTTCTCACCTCTTCATTCTTCAGTCTGTGGTTCTACCCCAGCCTCCTCACTGAAACTTTTACTCTAAAGTACTATTAGCTTTCTAGTTTTCAAATGCAATGAGGGACTTTCCATTGATTTCTTTTCTTATCCCTCTGTGATTTTTTTTGTGTGTGTGTGTGAGGGAGACCAGCCCTGAGCTAACATCCAATGCTGATCCTCCTCTTTTTTGCCGAGGAAGATCGGCCCTTAGCTAACTTCTGTGGCCATCTTCCTCTACTTTATATGGGACGCCGCCACAGCATGGCTTGACAAGCGGTTCATCAGTGCGCGCCCGGGATCCGAACCTGCGAACTCCGGGCCGCTGC